GGGCTCTGTCCTTGGTCCCCTCCTTTTCAATATCTATATGCTCCCTCTTGGTGACATCATCCAAAGACATGTGGTCAATTTCCACATTTATGCAGATTACACCCAACTCTATCTCTCTGCCTCCAATCTCGACTCTAGGACCACTGCTGTCCTGACAGAATGTCTGTCAGACATCAAGTCCTGGATGAGAGCTGACTTTCTACAGTTGAATGTCAACAAGACCGAGGCTCTCCTGATTGGCTCCAATTAGGGCCTCCGCACCTCAGGCACTGACAGCATCACCATCCGAGGATGTACACTCCACCTTATTAAGCCGGTCCAGAACCTTGGCTTCTTGTTTGACCCTCAACTATGCTTTCTACCCCACATCAGTGCCATGGAGTCCTGTGGAGTCCTGTAGCTCGCAAGCGAGAGACCCGAGTTCAATTCCAGGCGAAACCTTGGGCAAGTTTCCTTACTTCACACAGAGCCTAATAATAATCCCTCCAAAACAAAAACAATAATAAATTGGTCATTTTCAATCTACGACTGTTTGTGGGACATTGCTGTGCGCAATTGGCTGCCACGTTCGCCCACAAATATATCCAGTCAATTCACTTCACAGGGTGTTCTGTGAAGCACTTTGGGATGACCTCCCGACGTGAAAAGCGCTATATCAAATGCAAGGATTATTATTATTATTATGACCTGCTCTGCATTCCCCCACCTCCTCAACATAGCCTGGCTCTGCCACTGTCTCACACCTCAGGCCACCGAGACCTCATACACAAATCTGTAAAATCCAGGCTTGACTACGCAAACTCCTTGCTTGTCAGCCTCCCAAATTCCTCCCTCCATAGGCTGCAGATCGTCCAGAACTCTGCAGCTCATGTCCTCTCCCACACCAGGCTCTGCAACCCTCTCACCCCCAATTATTATTATTATTATCCTCGCCCTATTCCACTGGCTTCCCATCACAGAGGATACAGTTCAAAATCGTGGTCCTCACCTTCAAAGCCCTCCATGGCCTTGCTCCCCCTCCCACCTCTGCGACCTCCTAACTCCCTACCAATCTGCCCAGTCCCTCCGCTCAGCGGTCTTCAGCCTGCTTCACGTCCCCCGCCTCACCCGTTTCACCATTGGCAGTCGGGTCAAACTTCTGCCACTCTGCCCCCACCCTCTGGAACTCCATCCCGCAGTCCCTCAGCCCCTCCCTTGCCTCCTTCAAGACCCATTTCAAGAGTCTCCTCTTCAACCATGCCTTTGGTTACCCTCCTTTCCCCCCTGCCCTCCGCCTTCCCCAATCCCGACCCCCAGCTCGGTCCAAAACATTGATTGTTCAGAGTCTTGGGACGTCCTCCCGATGTGAAAGGTGCTATACACAAGTGATTTTGTTGTTAATTATTTGCTGTTGATAAAAGATAAACGCTCATTTGATACAAACTGTCAGAAAACCTAATACGTGAAGAGCCCTTCGCCTTTCCTCTGGAGTCAAATACTGTGTGTCTCTGTGTTTTTTGTGCAGCGCTTGACAAGAACCGGCTTTCAAATTACGTCTGAATTTAAGAATTTTCTACACCGCTGCACAACTTTCTATTTTAAGACAGAATAGTCTTTCAGGATAAGTCTGAGTGAAATTTCAGGCCCACAAAATACACAGTCACACTATTTTACACTATATCCTGTGAAGCGCTTTGAATGTCTCAACACGATAAGGGGCTATATCAAATGCAAGGATTAACTAATATTATTATGATGTTAGTATGGTTTAAAATCACTCTAAAGAGGTAATTTCTGAATGGTGTTCAGTGATGGGTCAGCCAGACCAATAACACTGTCACTTTATATATGAATGGGTGATATTTTCTAAATATATTTGAGCTTCCTAAAATAGCTACTTTTTGCAGGAGGTTGTTATTTTGTTCATCAGGTATTTTGTCAATCCATTTTTGAATTATTATTAAGCACCAATTAAAATTGCATTTTATTATGAGATGTCAATCATCTTTTGGAGGGCACTAAAGTTTGCAATTCGATAACATTTCGACATGTTGGGAGTTTCCTTTTTCAGAGATTCAATGGTGATTCCATCAAAAAAAAACTACTAGAAACCATGTGAGGAACATTTGGAATTCAAGAAGATCAACGATGTCATGAAAACACAACAGAGAAAGGAGAAAAGTTGCAATAAATGGGCTGAAAGGATAACTCCCTTCTCTTTATAGGAACCTGTGTGCTAACGCAAGCTACACATTGGGAGAGTGGAGATCTCCATTTGCTGAAGCTGTTAAAGGACATGGTTAAAAGTAGCACAGACACCAGGAAGGAGTCTGCTTGCTATGAAATAACACAGGACACCTTTGTCCAGTTCGTACCTTAGGTCAGTGAGACCTGAGGGGCTGAATGTGCTTTGTAGGAAGATAATCCGTGACAAAAGGCTTCAACCTCTTAAGTTCTGCCTTTGAGGGTCAATGATCAGGGCTCTGTTGATCCATGCCATGTGTCACTCAGCAGCAATGCTCAGGAGTAAACACCCGTTTGTACAGTGGCAAGGATTCAGCTCACATCCTGCTGCAATCACTGAGTGAGATTAAGACACCAACAGCTGCAAATTGACCGTACAGGGCACTCTGAGGGTTATGTTCTGCTGGTCAGTAAATTTATCAAACATTTCTAATGGTGAAAATCCAATTACCAATGCACCCACCCACACACTTGTGTTCAATTTAATAACAAGTAGAATAGTCCAACAACAATTTACTATTGATATAGTGCCTTTCACACAGGAGGACATTTCAAAGTGCTTCACACAGCTGACTGGGAGTCCCAGCTGGGGTGGGTTGGGGGGGGTGGAATGAAGGGGGCTGCTCAGGAACACCTCAAAGTTGGTAACGAGCAGGCCAGAGGCAGGCTGCTGCACCAATACACCACTGCTCACCAACATTTGGGGCTGTCTAGTCTTCTTGGCAACAGCTTTCTCTCAAAGCTGCAGTGATAACATTCCGAGTCTTATGGGTTCATCATGCCACAGCTTCGGGTGTAGGAGCGCAGTTATACGTCAGCATTCTGAGTCTCAGCTGGTTCATTGCCATAGCATTGGGTTTAGGAGCTCAGTTCTACTTAAGTCTCAAATTAACTGGAAGTTGTTTCTATGCCAGCAACATCTGCTTTGTGTTAAAGACTCAAATTGGCCAGCAGTCATCTAGGAAGCAACAAAATCAGTACCTTTCAACGAATTATTCAAAGCTATTATTCCTAGAGAATTATATTCTCGGAACTCATTTGGGGACAGAAATCCCACTTGCTATAAGTATGATACAAGCATGTATTCTGATTACATTAGGGAGTACCACAAATATTTATCCATTTGTCTGTGTCCTCCCCCCTCAAACATAAGAACAGGTTTTTAGTGAATGTGATTATAACCACTTTGTGTAGGAAAGGCTGTCTATGCCGCAGTCCAGAAGTTGTTGGCGGATAATCCTGTGCTGAGCACAGAGCAATACAAAAAGCATACATATCTCTGCAGAACCATAAAAATATGAAACATTTGTGCTCGTCATTGCTGGATAAGGGGATATGTTTCTACCTTTTGCACAATGTCACCATTGAGCAGTCCCTGCTCAGGTTTAACAATGGTTTTTCTTCTCTACTACATCAATATGATTCAATTTCCAACATCAGAAGAGGAAAAAACATCTATTCTCATCATATTGAACCGTTTCAAAGCCTTCGACAAGTATTGCTGTCAAGCAGAGCGACTGGCTTAGTAGGCAAATGGAGCAACGATTTGTGCAAGTAAAGTCTCACATGAGATGAATGACTAATTTATCTGGAGGATTTTTGGCTAGGACACATTTTCCTTTCAAATACTGCCAAAGCAACTTTCATATCCAGCTAACCAGCTAGACAGGATCTTGGTTCAAAGTTTCACCTGAGTTTCAAAAGTCCAACAGTTCAACACTTCCCAACCAACAAAGAATTTGTGAGCTCAAATCCCCATGTTGTGCTTGAACCCATAACTTTATGAGTCAGTGGCGAGAGTGTTACTAACAGAGCCAAATGGACACATCAAAAGGATTCAAATATTGCATTAAAATGCGTTGAAATGACTTTCATACCAAATAAGCACAAGCCTCAGTAAGTTTCATAGTCGCACATATTCTACTCCAGTCTTCAGCATCACATGAATAGCTCAGTCTATATAATTTATAATTGCCAGCTGTGCAAACATAGCAATAACCACAACATAGAAATATCTATTGAATAGCTGTAAAAATGCAACCATACTCTTAAATTAAACGGGAGAGCTTTCACAAAAATAGCATTAAGTGCAAAGATATCCTAATTCTGTGTAAATAAAGTCTGGATTTAGCTCAGCAATCCACAGTGGTCTAAGGTGCTTACATAATTAATCACTGTTGCTTCCCCACCGACTTCATACACATAATTCAAGGATTCCGTTAGCGTCTCTTAATCACGTTCAATGCAATTTTTTTTAAAAAAAAACAACACGTTAATTTAGGACAATCGTCAAGGCTTGAATAGTCCCACTTGCACCAGGTTTTTCAAGGAATTTATTTGAGTTGGTTGAAAGACTCACATGCGTTTCGAATGCTTCACACCACACACCATGTGAAACAGCAGAGGAACCAGACTGTGCTGTTGTTTTACAACCTCACTCTCTGCTTGTGAGAGCCCCAGATTAAAGTAAGCTCTACTTTTAGACTTCCAGCAAACACAGGGCAGCCTCACAGAGCAAATCAGACCTGGGGCATTAGCTGCAGCAAATGCCTCCTAACCAGGGTGCAAGAACTCAAACACTTGAAGCAACACAAAAGAGACAAGACGACTGCTGGTCCAAATACCTGCACAGACCAGGCAGACAGGAGGACGTAGTTCCAAAGCACTCGCATTAAATCACTCAATGTCTGTGCCTGAGCTCCCTGAATATTGAGGGGAGGTCAGTTTTTAAACAGTTTTTTTGCTGTTAACTCTGCAAATTCTTAAACTCACTTTACCTCCAGGAAAGGTCTTTCGGCTCCTTTCAGTGCAGAGGGATGACACAGATGGCTTGGCTGGCAGGGCACTGCTTAAAGTATCCAAAGCTGCAGTGAATGAAGCCCTCAATTCACCCGACAAAGTAGTCAGCCAGACGAGCCTTGGCTCTGCCCTTCTGGATGCATTTCACTACGTTTATCAGTGTGTGCAAACACAGCACACAGCTGCCAGTGCAGCCCTTTCTTAGGCTCTGCCAATACTCTCCTTCCTGTCTCACTCAATCTTTCCATTCCCAGCAACACACAGAAAAGAAGAGTAATACAGTCAGGAGGGACCCACTGCAACCGAAGGGAAAGAAGCTGTATAGCAAATAGGTTCAGAAGGGGCTCATTGCTTTCAGTGACTGTGCCCTCTTCCAACTTGCACAATGACATAGCTACAGGAACCACAGTCTGCTTCACAATGGACTCCTGGATTCTCAACTATTTTCAGGGTATTTAGCTCTGCCTATACTGAAATGTCCATGGGAAACGGAAGGCAGGTCTTTTTTGTGATATCCAGGTGTTTTGCCCATAAAATACACAGTGAATTCACTTGGCAATATATTCTGTGAAGCACTTTGAGGCATCCTAGTGATGCGATAAGGCGTTATATCAAATGCAAGGATTATTATTATTAAATTGTGTTGTGCCAATAGCCGTGATTTGAAATTTGATACAGTAAATGTAAGTAGTGCTTACATTTGATACAGTACCCATCATGTTGAAATGTCTCAAAGCGCCTCATTAGTGTAGCATAACTGTATTTTTTGTAGGAGATTGCAGGAGCGGATTTGCACACAGCAGTGCCCCACAAACAGCCAAGAGATGAATGACCAATTTATTTCCATTATTTTGTAATGCTGTAATGAACGTTTTTATTCTATAAGGTTCTATCCACTCCAGCATTGTATTTTACAGAGCTTGGATGCAAACAACATATGTGAGTTATTAGACAATGTGATGTTTGCAACAAAATAATTGCAAAGTTAGATTGTGCATGGTGATGTGGCTCGGGATAAAGTAACAAACAACAATTTACACAAAGACCTCTTATTTCCTTTATACGGGAAAGTTTGTTTCATTCATAAATTGTTTTTTGTGGTGTTAATACAGCAGTAACCAGGTCAGTGGTCAATTAATATAGTGGTAACCAAATTAGACGTTAATGAATTCAGCAGTAACTAGGTTAGAGGTCAATTATTATAGCCATAGCCAGTAAGGCGTCAATTAGTGCCACAATAGATTTTAAACTTTAAAAAATCTCTTTTCTGTGTTTTTGCAAATAATGAACTTGCAAATCAACTCACAATGATAAGCCCAAGAATAAATGCTGGAAATCTGAAATAAAGACAGAAAATTCAGCAAATGCAGAGCCATGTGATCAGAGTATGAATCAAACGGATGTTTTGGGTGGCACATTTCACCGAAATCTATGGAAGATTTCCAGCATCTGCAGTATTTTGCGTTATGCTATTAGCCTAACTGTCTCACCCCTTCTCTTTCTGTCTGAGTCCCACCTCAAATTCAAGCTCTTCAAATGCACCTCCCCACCACCCACCCCTTGCTCGATGTCCAACCCGTCCCTGAAAAATGCTCCAAGACAACAACAACAGTATAGCACCTTTCATGTCGGGAGGACGTCCCAAGGCGCTGGACAGTGTACAGCATTTCAGACCCGAGCTGAGGTCATATATATACATATAAATATATATGTGGGGCACCATATAAATTCAAGTTGTTGTTGATGTTCTGTTACAACAGTTTACAACACATACCAGGAAAGAATGAAAATTACAACAACAGTTAATTTTTAAAGCACTAAGGAAATCATTCAGCATTAAGTAACAGTGAACCAGTTAACATCCATTCCCAGGCCAGTCCAGCTGCTGAAGGGAGCCCTGTGTCTGCTCGAGCTGAATGCACCACTTAGGTTTATTTTTAATTATAGACAGCTATTTATTCTAATGATATGCTGTAGAATATTGAAAAAATCTTCTTTCTCACTCACATAGTCTTCATTTTGGACTCATGACAGCTTTTAATTTATGTCAGCTCTATTTGTTATTCAGCTCATTCCTGGAGTTTTTGAATCAGCTTCCAAATTATCTATTTGTTCGGGTGAACAAAGGCCTTTTTTTAAAAGGAATGATTTATAACAGAGCATGAATGGTACAATAGATTCTGTTGCCCATTTTAGTGCAACAAAAATGGATGCAATAATAGCATAATAAATCCTTGTGTTTGATATAGCACCTAAACATCAAAACGTCTCAAAGTGCTTCAAAGCTGACAGCTATCTGGTGAAGTGGCTGCATTTGCAGAAGGACTACAGTTTAAGGACTACAGTTTAAGAACCTCCCTTCTCTTTTCGAAGAGTGCCATGGGATCTTTAGCAAATAGCCATACGAGACCTCAGTTTAATGTCTCACCTGAAGGATGGACAGTTTAAGAAACCATTTCCAGTTTGTAGAAAAGCTGTTACAAACCCACAGCCCCTGTAAGGTGCCCCTCACTATAGCACACTCTTCTGTTTGGCTAGCAAACACTCTGTTACTGAGACTTCTACCCTAGCACATTTTAAAGTGTAAATAAAGGAAGGAACAAGAAGGAGCATATTTAGGAAATCTCAGTGAGTGATATCGAACCGCCACCCTCCCCTTCTGAATTGGTTTCTGCAGCCAAGATTTTTGAAGCAAGCTCCAGTTTTAAACAGCAAATGACTGGTTCAGTGTTTTTTTCATTGAGTAACTTGAGTCTGCGAAGTGCCTCAGCTCCAATCCCCTTTCTGTGGTGAGTCAGCTGATCTCAGCCAGTGTGGAACTGGCAATGGTACCTTTGGCCTCAGCAGCTTGGGGTTAGGGGTGAGGAGAGGAAATTAGCCAGGAACCCACTGCCCATCACTATCCGACAGCACTGGCGGGAAGTGTGAGTGAGTGGATGGCAGAACGGGTTAGGACAGTATTAAATTCCGATTCAGGCAACTAACTCACTGTCGCAGCTCAAAATTAAGAATAGTCACTTGGATGAGATACTGGAGAAGGATGTTACATTGGTGGAAGGAAAAAGGGAAGAAGAAAACCAGTGATGGAAAATAAAGTAAATTCCTAAAATCTGTCATTGGATACAATTGTACTTTGTGATGCTTTGCTTCCGTGTGTCCATCCTTCAGGTGAGACGTTAAACCAAGGTCTTGTACGCCTATTTGTTAAAGATCTCATGGCGTGCTTCGAAAAGAGAAGGGAGATTCTCAATCAGGCCCCCAGATAAAATTGGGCATTCACTTTGTTGCTGTTTGTAGGACATGGCTGAGTGGAAGTTTGTCAGCACAGGTGCACACAAATCCATAATCACTACCCTTAACAGCAATTCCCTGCGGAAGCCTTTGAGATGGTTGGCATTATAGGCGCTATATCAAGTGCAGAAATTGTTTTTTAGATAACCAATTTTTATTTAATTGTTTAATTAATCCAGCACCTTGGGACGTCCTTCCAACGTGAAATATGCTATATAAATGTAATTTGTTGTTGTTGTAATTGGCTGTTGACCAAAATCCTTTATTGCTTTAAGACTGATCTAGCACCCTACTCTTGTGCACCAAAACACCGCTGCCAAAAACACAACAACTCCACAAATCTGGTGCTATTCTCACTGGGAATCGTAAAAAAAAAATGTAGCTAAAGCTGGTTTCCTTTTCATAGTCTGTTTTGCTCCAGTTGGCTTTCAGGGTTCCTGGGAAGCTGACAGGAGGCAGAGCCGAGCTGCAGGTGACAGCAGAACTGGACCTGTAGCCCACATGTGAATTCAGCACCGAGCAGCTGCTTTCCTCTCCTGGACACAAATTCCACTGAAGATCCATCGAAGGAATTCAGTCCCAGGAGGCTTGTGAAGTTCGCCTGCAGTTGCAAAAGAGAAACTCGTTTAAAATGTCCCACATGCAATTTTTTTTTGTCCGTGTTGAAAATGATTTTGCAGCCACGTCACATTGATACTCTTTTGTACAGTCGCTTCAAGTGTTAGGCGTCAAGAAATTTCACATCATAATTCTTGCACTTGATTATATAGTCAACACATCATCAAAATGTCTTGACAGCACTTCACAGGATTTGCTGAAGAGTATAGTGTCTATGTATTTGTAGACAAATTTGTTGGCTAATTTGTGCACACCAATGTCTCACAAACAGCCACCAAGTGAATGACCAATATCCTGTTTAAAAATATAGATCCAGCATAGTCGGATTGACTCTTGTTACATAAATTAACATAAGATATTACGCAACAGAAAAGTGAAGTACATACAGAGTGTGCATTAGTAGAGGAATAATGGGTCTAAAACATGTTGATTTCAACTCGAGTTCCTGAATAATAAAGCTGAGTGGGGGCTCCTTCTGGTTGCTGTTTGTATGTCACACATATGATACAGAGCTTTGCTGTGAAAGTAGATTGGATTTTCTAGGAAGTAGATTTTCAGTATCCTGAATGAAGGATTCCAGCTTCAAATCGTCACTTTGAGATCCCAATGTAGTGGTGGAAGACAGATTTCTCCAATGCGGTAAACATAACAGTTTTATTGCAGTCTCGAGGACAACAATTCCCCAGATAAAATTGGTCAGTCAAGTGATCATTCACTTCGCGGCTATCGGCAGAACATTGCTGTGCGCAAATTGGGTGATGTGTTTTCCTGCAAATAGACAGTCACTACACTTTGCAGAAATTTCTTATGGAGTGATTTGAGACTTTGCAACTTAGTAGGCACTGTATTGAATAAGAGATTTTTTATGATTATTATTATTCATTATTATAGCTGTATCGTTACAGAAATTCTCAATCTTCAGGTTGGAGTGGGAATTAAACCTGGTTCCAAAAGGTAGCACCGTTCTAAGAGACAAATTTGTCTCAGTGAGTTAAACATTGAGAGTGATAGCAGTGAGCTATGACAGAGTGGCACAAACAGCTTGATTTCTGTTTCACGATATGTCACTCAGAGCAGACCGATGTGGGTTAGTGTTAATCTTGTAAATATTCTGTGCTTTGACCT